TTTTTTTTTTTTTTCATCTAAATGTATTTTATCTGTGACCTTGTCAGTGAAGTCTTTTTATCCTTTACACAAATATTTGAACCTCGGCATGGAGTACCAATGTTGGAAGTGACTGACATGTTCTGTGGTGTCCCAACAGGATGTGGAGCTGGGCGTCACTCATGAGGTGGTGGCTGGGGCGAAGAAGCAGATGGATCATGTGTATACCAATGGCCAGATGACCGAGAACCACACTGAGTCTGAATCTGAGGACGACTTCTTTCTGCAGCGTCTGACCCCCATTCATACCATCATACTGGACTTTACTCCTGTTAACTTTATTGACTCTGTAGGAGCCAAAACTATTAAATCAGTAAGTCAACAGCTTTTATTCTGAAAGAAGGCACTTAAGGACTGATTAGTGAGATCTGGCTTAATACGTTAGACCACACGTTGTGCTGTTGCAAATTGAGCAGTTTTTTTTATTACATCAGTTTTGGGGTTAGATGTTTGAACAAACTCTTAATATTAAACTTCAACCTGTTACATTTCCCTCATTGTTTGCACTGTTGATATGACATGGCTTGTTGAGAAAGGGTGTGCTATTACTTAAGTGATCTGATTCATGATATTTGCTCAATGAATACAAAATACCATGGATTCAGTGACCTAAAAGCACTCTGAACACCTCAGTACACAACATTGTAGAAACCATATTGAGTCATTGTGGTTATAAGTTTTGGAATGGTTCCTCTCTCTTTTTTTTCTGCAGGTGATAAAGGAGTTTGCAACAGTTGACGTGAAAGTTGTGCTTGCTGGATGTAGCAGTAAGTAATTGCTTTCATTTTTACATAGATATATATTTACAATAATATTTGAACATCAGAGTTCTGACTTGCTGGATGTAGCAGTAGTTAATAAAATGTATACATGTATATACGTCTCCTATAATATACATTTCTATAATCTAATGTATAATTTTTTTCCCCCCACATGTGTTTGGGTTATCTTTTGGGACTTTTTTTATTTTTTATTATTGTTGTTATTTCTGACATGTTTTATTCAGGCAATTTGGCTGTTGTTGTCTAATATAATATAATAATATTTTTTAACTAATACTAATGTATTAGTGAGTAATTAATTACGTTTATACATCTATACATTTCTATAATATAACATGATTGAACTCCACCAGAGTTCATATGCTTTATGTAGGTTAAAGTTAATCTCCACATCTCCACCTAGAGTTGGAACTAAAACGGTCATGTGGACAAGTCAAACTAATATTTACTTTAACATTTAACAATTTTACTATAATGTTACTATATATTAATTTAACTAATGAATTCTTTCCTAAGATCCTTGTAAGACCTTTTATATGTTTGTGTTGTGCAGGGACCCTTCTCTCTGATCTCAGGACACTAAAATTCTTCTTTGAGCCCGTGACCCCTGACCTCATTTTCCCCACCATTCATGACGCAGTGTTGCATTGTAAGCACTCGAGGGACGCCCCCGTCTGCCCTGACCTCCAGTGAGCACACAGACCAAACTGAGTGGCAGAATATGGAGTCGTGCTGAAACGAGCACAAGTACTGTTATTCCTTAGTCACTTTAGTAATGGATATCATGATAATGAGAGGAGACTGGGAACATTTTAGCAGTGAGCAAGCCAAAATGTTTTAGATGGAAACACTTTATTTAATGTGAATATACCAGCAAATGTTGAGCTTAATATGATTGGTGGTGTTGTTTTATTGCACTGACCATAATCTTAAGCTCCACCGCCATTTGTTACAGACGGCTGTAAAACACTCTGTACCTTCAGTTCTTTTAAGTGCAATTAGTGTAGATGGATTCTTGCCCAGTGTTTATTTCTTAGCACTGGTCTAAATATTTTATTGACATTCCAGTAAACTTATTTTTATGATAGAAATTGTTTAACAATTGTTCACCATGTGCTAGTTTTTCTTTTCGCTGTATTTAATTTTTATTTAATATTTTTTGAAAGTCTACTGTTTCTCATCTG